TATATATATATATATATATACACACACACACACACACACACACACGCGACAGGGTGTATCAACTCTGTACTGGGCCAACGGCGGCTGACCAATCGCTGTGGGCCCAGGAGACCACGCCCCCCCTTACGTCTGCTGTGCATGCTCCAGGTGGAGGGGACAGATAAAAGGAGACGGCCCAGCTCAGTTGGGGCTGCTGAGGAGGAGGAGGAAGAACGTATGCTGCCATCGACTCTCCAGACTACTGAGGGCATGGATCTAGACTATGCTGCAGAGACCCAGCCGACCGCAGAGCTGGCAGGGATGCCGAGCTGCTGCCAGCAGAGGAGATGCCCGAGATAGATTTTATGGTAGGAAGTTAACCAGGGAACGTGTTAGGACTGAGGCTTGAACCCTTAATAGGGAGTTTACTGGCTTCATGGGACCCTGGGTCAGAACCCAGTAGAGTAGGGTGGGCCTGGGTTCCCCTATCCCCCTGAATTTGCCAGTAGGCGTGGCTGCCGGGGACTCTTGATATAGACTAATTGTTTGCTCTGCCCCACTAGGTCAGAACCCCTAAACTATTATTGTTTGCCCTGGCCAAGAGGCTATAGACTGCTTGTTTGCTCTGCCCTGCCCGAGGGTCTGGAGATCCTCATTGTGATCCCTTGACTTAGCAGGGAATCTCAAGGCTTGTGTGATGGGGTGTATGAACCCTGCAATGGGAAAATGGGGGTGATGCCCGTGGGACACACTGAGCCCCCGTGAGACCACGATTCAGGCAAAATGTTCTTTGCTCCTTTCTTATAACTCATCTCTTTAAAATGTGTAAATCTAGGAAATCTAATGAAATTAGACACTGTGGCTATCACATCTTGGGTAGAGCAGAGCCTTCAAAAGCTTTTGGATTCTAAAACAAAGGGATTCACGGTATTTCACGGCGGTTTAGGAACTTATATACATTTTAGCAGGGCTCAGCTCCAATTCCTGATTGCGGCTTACAGTAAATGTTCTTAAAATCCCCAATCTTCATTCTTTTATGTTCAATAAAAAGCTACTAAGATTATCAGCAAGGCTGAAATAGTAACCGATGCAGAATATTATTGAACCATGTAACAATGAAATAATGTGATTAATACAAAGAACACAGGGCTGTAAAATGGCACACATCATTAGTTAAACCAGTCATGCAAGTAAACTGCATTTTAAAGAGTCCGACCCTCATTAAATAGCTAATTACCTTCTAATATACTGTAGACCATAACCTTGTTGCACGAGAACATGATAGCGAATGTAACATTTATTTATGTATCTTTCCCTCACAGTTTCTATTGTTTTCCTTTTGGCTGAAGACTGAACATTATTGAATGGGACAAACACCTCAAGACCTCCTGGCACATGCAGAATCACTAATGCGACAAAGCCTAATTTTTAATTCATTGACATGACAGGAAACAATTGGCAAAGTCAAAGAAATGGGCTCAAATATGCCTCATGATTTTAAGGCAATTTGGGCTCAAATATGCCTCATGATCCACTGCAATTTCTGATATGAAGGAGGTCACATTTGGAGAACAAAATTACAATAATAATCCTGTCCATGTAGCATAGCGCCTTTAATGTGCTCATCTCAAAATGCTTTACAAATATTAATTAAGCCCCATGATATCTGTTTGAGGTCAACAAGTAAACATTGCTATCCAGTAGATACATCGACACAGCAGGGGATGTTTTTACAGCTGAAGGGGAAAAAAAAGAGAGGTCAAGGGACTTGCTCAAGGCCAAAGAGTGAGCTGGTGGCAGAGTTGAGCACAGACACTCAGGCATTTCGGGGTCAGATCACTAGATACCCAGCTCTTTCAGAGTACAAATATTTTGGCTGGTTTACCTGAAACGGTTTCCCACGCTTCAGTTAATCAGAAGCCAGTTTAGCATTTCAAACCTGTAAGGTGCTGAGCAACCAGAGCAACCCACATAAACGTGCTTTTATTTTAAGCATGTGCGCAATTCCTGCTTCGCGGCTTGTAACGCTGAGCTCTAGGAGTCCTTCTCAGAAGAAACATTGACAAATGAGCTCAGTTTTATTTTAAGAACGGGGGAGGCGTCGCCAGCGGGGGGGACTCAGAAATGCCAATTTTAATTCAAATCTTGTTTCTCCCCAGACACTCTCTCAGTTTGCTTCTGGTTCAACGGGCTACTCACCACTCGAGAAACCAAAGCCTGCAGCCCAGGGGCCAGCACAAAGACTTCAGTCCTCAAAAGAGTGTTTACAGACAGTGGTCTCATGTGGTACCTGGGCCTATTGTACACAGAAGTTTTCAACCAATGCTGCACTGTACCCAGGGTTTCTAAGCACAACTCAGGGCGGATTATGTAACTCAGCGGTCTGGACTCACGCTAGGTATATTTACACGGTTTGGGATGTGATTTTCCCAGCTCATATGCGCATGCCCCACACTAGCTTTCATCTGGCTAGTTCGCTAAAAATGGAAATGGGGATTTAGCACCACCGACTTCAGTGCAGGCTGCACAAGAGAGTACATACCCTGAGCGGGGAGGGGGGAGGGGGTCGGGTGGATTTGGCAGCTAGTACTGAGCCTCACGCCGCTGCACCCTCTTAGTGAGCTCTCTAAATGAATGCTAGAATGGGTTTGTACCC